ATCCTTGAAGAGATCTTCCCACGGTTCGGGCTACCCAAGGTAATAGGTTCAGATAATGGACCTGCCTTTGTCTCTCAGGTAAGTCAGCTTGTGGCTAAAACATTGGGAATTGATTGGAAACTATATTGTGCATACAGACCCCAAAGCTCAGGACAGGTAGAGAGAATGAATAGAACAATTAAAGAGACCTTAACCAAATTGACCATAGAGGCTGGCACTAGAGACTCTGTACGACTCCTACCCATGGCACTGTTCCAGTTCGGAACACCCCTTCAGTGCATGGGCTAACTCCATTTGAGATCCTATTTGGAGGACCCCCGCCTATCCTGAATACACTTCCCATAGACCCTAATCATCCCATTGACCCCCCATCCCTCCAGGCCCAGTTACATGCCCTTCAACTCGTTCAGAATCAGATCTGGAAACCACTGGCTGCAGTATACCAGGCTGGAAATCCCACAGTGCCTCACCTGTTCCAGATCGGGGACTCCGTGTATGTCCGACACCACCAAGCTAAGACTCTTGAACCCTGCTGGAAAGGCCCTTACACCCTGATCCTGATGACCCCCACGGCTCTCAACATTGACGGGATTGCAGCATGGATCCATGCCTCTCACACCAAGAAGGCCGTGGCCAGGGGAGGTTCAGCAGAGGACAAAAGCCGCTCAAGCTAAGACTCTCACGAACTGCTTGATTGTCTTGTTATGCTTAATGCTTTTCTGTTTCCTCATCCCAACTGAGGGAGCCCCACATACTCCCCAACAGCTGACCCTCACCCAAGTCTCAGGAAAGGGCACATGCTTGGGAAATATCCCCAGGTCCCACTAGGACCTCTGTAACCAAACCCTCCTATAACCCAAAACTAACATGGGCTCTATGTAGCTGGTACCCAACAATATCAAGCTGTATCTAACTTTGAGGCCCCCTAAAAAGTTTTATGATTAAAATTATGCCCTAGAGAAAAGGGAGGAATGAAAGACCCCGAATTTATAGAAATAAAATACAAGCTTAAACAGGGAGGGCACCCCACTAGAGAACTTGGGAAGTGAACAAAGGACCCCATCCCAGGAACTGGCCAAACCACAGAATGGAATGTATGGTTTAGCAACCTTAATTGCAGAAGGGCTGTAAACCCACAAAAGGCCAATTCTGGGCTGCTGACCACCTGTGAAGAACTGACCAGGGCGTCAGAGATGGGCAAACAAGATTTGTGGGAAACAAGGAGATGATAACACCATTTACTTAGGGAGAGATGATTAACTCATACCAAGGTTTGAGGAATTTACAACATGTAGGTCAGGAAGACATCTACTTCCCCTGGTCAGTAGTCACATAACCTCCCCCCGTCACAAGATAGGGACCCCTCCCAAAGGCTTGTGGTTTTTTGTCTTTAAAAGCTTATTGTAACTGAACCTCGGGGCCAATCGGTCTAAAAGCTGACCCAGAGGCCCATCTGAAGATGCCTAATTAAAGCCTCTTGCGTGTTGCATCAATTGGCTCGTGGACTCTTGATTCTTGGGGTGATGAATCCAGCTTGGGGACCCCTCCTCAATTCGGGGTACCCCAACCCAAGCACCTGTAACTTCAGTGGCAGGGGTCCTGACGCCCTCTTCTGGTCTCCTGGAGGAACTGTATGCACGGAGTGCATGGACACACATGCAGGCACATCACCCATACACATAAAAATAAATACATCTTAGAAAATTGAAAATAAGTAAACAGGACGGAATCCCAGGAAGCTTTCTTCCTTGTGTGTATATGTGTTCCTTCACACTCCTGCACCCCTCAGGCCCTGGCCCTAGGCAATCGCCCACCTGGTTCCTTCTGTTACAGAGGACTAGATTTGTCTCTTAAAAAAAAAAAACCCCACCTGTGACGGTTTCAGTGAGAGTGATACCCATATACTCATATGTTTGGATACTTGGTCCCCAGTTAGTGAAACTGTGAAGGCAGGAGATGCTGTGGAATACTCCTTTACACTGTGTGAGTATACGTCACTATGATTGGTTTAATAAACAAGCTGACTGCCCAATAGCTGAACAGGGTACAGTAAGGCAGGAGAGCCAGACTAGGAGAATGCTGGGAGGAAGAAGGGCAGAGTCTGGAGTCGACAGCCAGAAGGAGAACGAGTCAAGACACACAAAATGGGATGGAGGCAAAGGCCATGAGCCTCAGGGCAGCACATAGATGAATAGACATGGGTTAAGCTGTAAGAGCTAGTTACTAACAAGCCTGAGCTACCAGCTGAGCATTTGTAAGTAACATTGAGTCTCAGAGTCGTTATAGAAACTCCGCCTACAAGGAGGTGTGTCACTGGAGGCAGGTTTTACAAAACCGGAGCCATCCCTGGCGAACTCTTGCTCTGTCTCCTACTTGCAGATCAAGAGGTGAGCTCTCAGCTGTTCTAGCCACCAGGCCTTTGCTCCATCATCATGGACTTAAACTCTGAAACCTTAAGTCCCAAATAACCGCTTCCTTAGTCATGGTGTCTTATCAAGGCAATAGAAAAGTAACCCATGACACCATGCAAATGAGATCGTGTGTGTGCGCGTGCGCTACCCGAACTCTTAAAATATTTTTTTCCTCTCTACTCCTTTCCTTTCCATCATTTTCTCTTTCCATAATGGGACTTGAACCAGGGGTCCATGCTGGGCAATCACACCATCACTGAGCTCTACCTGAGTCTTTCTTTTCTTTTGAAATGTTCTAAGCTTCCCAGGCAGCTCTGAACTCACTCTGTAGTCTGGGTAGGACTCGAACTTCTCACCCTCCTGCACTAGCCTCCCAAGCAGGGCTTAAAGGCCTGTTACATAGCCTGGCTGGTTATTGTTCATAATTAGGTTCTGGGCTTGGGAAGAAGAGAACACACACAAATTCCTTGTTCACATCCTATCGACTGTTGGTGCTGAGGGTGTGTCTAGATGGCCTGTCTGAGGCAGACGTGGTCACAGTTCTGCACTTCTAATGTCCCATCCCCCACCCCACCCCAGTCCCTTGCCCAGCATAACCGACAAAAGAAACTGGAAGCTCTCCTTCCATTCCCCTGGGATGGAGTGGCCACACAGTTCATTTGAAGTCCTGGGACAGATTAGCCCCTTGTTTTCACTGGTGAGTTTATTAACTGTATCAGATGAACTCACTTATTTATACTCCTTCCCTCCCTCAACCATTGATCTTACAACCATCTACTTAGTTTTGCTTTTCCCAGACTGTTGTATTGTTGGAATCACAACACTCACCTGTCCAGATTGGTTTTACTTTGGTGTTTTTCAAGACAGGGTTTCTCTGTGGTTCTGGCTGTCCTAGAACTCACTCTGAAGACCAGGCTGGCCTCAAACTTACTGAGATCCACCTGCCTGTGCTTCCTGAGTGCTGGAACTAAAAGTGTGCACAACCACAGCATGGTTCACATTGGTTTCTTTTACATTCGTTTTTCCTCAGGGCCTACTATTGCATTAAAAAAATTGTGGTGAAATTGTATGTAAAATTTGCTAATTTACTCACTAGTGTTAGAAACATTCAGTGTTGAGTAATTTCCCAAACTATTCTCAGCTTGCAAAACTCAAGCTCTGTGCATATTAAACAATTCCATCCCCCTCCCCAAGCACTTAGCAACCATTACTACTATAGATATATCATCCAGGTGGAATTATTCAGTATTTTATGTATTAGCTTGCATGTTCAATTTGGCATGAACTCTCTAAGTGGCAAAGAGTCACATTTCCTACCTTAAGAATGTTTAACTGGGGCTGGAGAGATGGCTCAGAGGTTAAGAGCACTGACTGCTCTTCCAGAGGTCCTGAGTTCAATTCCCAGCAACCACATGGTGGCTCACAACCATCTGTCATGAGATCTGGTTCCCTCTTCTGGTATGTGCAGATATACATGGAGGAAGGATGTATTCATAATTGTGCTATTCATAATAAATAAATAAATCTTTTAAAAAAAAAAGAATGTTTAACTGAATGTTTCCTATTTCCCCTATTTATTAATCTGTCGCTATCTAGCTTTGGCTCTGGTGAATAATGTTGCTGCCAATGTTACCCGTGTCTCAGGACAGAAGTCCTGGCTCTTCTGGTCTCAACAGGTTGAGTTCTAGATACTTGTCCCAGTCTTCATCAGCCATGAGTAGCAGTGAAGAGCACACTGTGTCCAGGTTAGGAAAAACAGGTAAAGGGGTTTAGTGACATCCCCATTCTGTGCTAACAGAAGCAGAGATTTCATAGGAAAGGGAGACAAAGGGAGCAGGCATCCCTGGTGGACATCGCTCTTGCCCAGAACAGTGTTCTGACCCACCATCGTGGGTATGCTTCTGCAAAGTGATCTGGCAAAGCTGGTATCACCAAGGGGACCAATCACCATAAGACAACTCTTGCTCTGAGGGCAGCACATAGGGTGAGTGTTCCCATTTGGGGGTGATTTGCCCTGTTAGGCTTGGTGATTCCCTGGCCATGAAGATGCTTGTCAAGCAGAACTAAGTAACTTTAGAAGAGGCAGTCAATGAAGAAGAACCAGAGAAGGGAAAAATGGAATTGGTCAGGCTAGTGATGGGCATCTTTCATCTCCACCATGACTGTACAATAATTTTGAGAAATTCTAATTTATTTATTTATTATTGTTCATGGAGACAGGGTTTCTCTGTGGCTTTGCAGGCTGTCCTGGAACTAGCTCTTGTAGACCAGGCTGCTCTGGAACTCACAGACCGCCTGCCTCTGCCTCCCGAGTGCTGGGATTAAAGGAGAATGCCACCACCGCCCGTTGAGAAATTCTGATTCTTATAATAACCTTATTTTACATTTCTTGAGAAATGTCCATACTGCTTTTCAAAAGTGGCTATAACAATTTTGAATTAATTACTCAAGACCTCCAGTTTCCTCATACAAGCAAGCATCAATAATTCCACACACACACACAATTCTTTTAAAAAATATTTTAAAAATGCTTGAAATGGTAAGTTTCACTACACCACCCCTCAAAAGAACAGAGAAAGCACCAAAAAAAATGTTACAAAATGACGTTTACTCTGCAACTTTATCATAATGAATTGCATCTCTTTGGTAAAAATAAACTTTATAGACATTAATAGTCAGAGATTAGATACAAAAACTAAACATTTGTAAGTTTAAAGACTAAGAGCAAAGACTGGCAACTGAGAAGAGGTTCACTTGTGTCTGGTCATCTATTGGCAGTTAAACTCAGAAGTTTTTATGCTACATCAGAAAAGAGGAAACAATTTAATAACAAATTTCTTTAATTAATCAAAAAGTATTCTTATACTTTTGTTTAAAAATAAATAAGTTACAATGAATTGGCAATTATACATTTTATACACTATATGATGGCCACATAATACTTTTAAAAGTAAGCACTCTGTTTAATAAAAAGTACGATTCTGAAAACAAGTTTGACAATGGCACTGGCAGTTAGATGCAAAGAATGTTCTTGAAAAATGGCAGGTATAACATTAAAATACTCTATTTTTGCCTTTCAATAAATATTTGACTACATCATTAACACACTGGAATAAACTTTAATCAAAAGTTACACATTTCAAAGGAGGAAAAAAAAAACTCTATGACATGTATGTAAACCAGAAAGCCTCAAAAGTTGCTTTAGAAAATTCTAGTTTTCAAAGGGTAAAAGTAGTCTTCGATTTTGGCTAACAGTCTTGCGGCTCTGTGGAACACTCCCACCTGCAGCCGGAGTTGTTCTTAAACACCCCCAGTCTACAAAGACACAACCTTCCCTTAACACTTGCTCTAGCTTTCAACTGCGCTAACGTGTGTTTAAACTGACCGTCTAGTGTGAACCCTTTACAAATGCCTCAGAAAACAGTGGAAAACAAAACAAAAAACATGTGCTGAGCCAGGCATTGGTGGCACATGCCTTTAATCCCAGCATTTGGGAGGCAGAGGCAGGTGGATCTCTGTGAGTTGGAGGCCAGCCTGGTCTACAGAGTGAGTTAGTTCCAGGACAGCCTTCAAAACAATAGAGAAACCCTGTCTCGAAAAACAAACAAACAAAAAAACAAAACCCAAAACACCAACAATAAACCCATGTGCTGACCTTACACTATACAAAGGAATCTGAGAAGTCACGCTGGCTCTGAGGACAGGCAAGGGTCTCAGGTGGGAAGGGAGTGATACACCTTTGCTTTTCTATTCATCTAGGCAATGTTCTCATGCTGAATTAAAAAGCAAAAGATCAACTAATTTAGTAACATATTGCACAAATTTCAAAGATGTATTCAAGAAACACTGATTCTCTTGGCGATGTGGAAAATAAAGATAATAGTGCCAAGACACAGCTTTTACGGGAGACCCATTAAAACTGGAACAGGTTGCAACAAAATTCTTATTTTGATGTAAAACAAAGTATACCTTAGCTAAAACAAGTTTAATATGCTGAAACATGTATGTTGTCCCTGGGTTTCTAGGTCATGTTTACTAAACAAAGTGTGTTAATTATTGGAAATTTCCAGCCCATGAGGTTTGGAAGGACTTCCTTAACTGGAAGCTTCCAGCTACATCTCCCATCAGAGCACTTCAAGCAGGAGCATGGTCCCCAAGGACATCGCAAGGGGCCAGAATGAAGGCTCTCCCCTTGAAATGGATGCCCAGACACAAGAGCACGTGGAAAGCCAGGCACCAAATTCTATACAAGAACTAAGTGCAAAATGTTAGGAGCTCTGCTGTTGGTGTACAGGCCAGGTATCATCCTTGCTTATGGCTATAGCTTTACATAAAAGTCCACTGAAGAGGGAAAAGAAGAGTAAGTTACTAATAGGCATCTGAAGGGATTTCTTAGAGCTAAGAATAACTTTCCTCCTACTTCAGATCATTGCAGATCCAGAACAGCTAATAGAACTTAGAGAAACACTTGTGGTAGAAAATTCCAGAGCAGAGTGCAATGGCCTGGTCCTGGATACTGTGCAAGGCCAATCCAGAGGGCCATGGTGATTAGCTTCAAAATACTGTGCTATCCAACCGAGCTTTATAAGCTCTTTATAATACACACCATGGTAAAACCATACTTTTATTTGGTGTCTTATTCACTGCAGTAAGAGACTAGCTTCACTGTTTTTTTGGAGAGATAACATTTATGAGTTAGAAAAATTTCAAATTCCTCATCCTGCACTATCAATAAAAGAAAAATGTCAATATTTTAGTAGCACCCATTCCATTAATGCAGCTATCTAGATTTAATTACAACTAACATGGAAACAGGAGAGTATCAATGCTGTTATAGCTTAAAGAGTGGTCAATTAAGAAACATGCTTTTATTTTTCTTCTCATTTGACAGTTTTGCCCAAATAAAAAAAAATAAAACATTTGTCTCTTAAAAAAAAAGTTCAAGAAAATGCTTTATAGTCATAAAAACACTTGAAAACAGGAAACTGACCTGAGCCTGTGTATGTGTGCATACAGCAAGTGTATATATGCATATAAATTAGAAAAATGCATAAAAGCTCACTGCCTAGGATACAGGTTGTATCAGGAAATAAGACTAAACTTTCCAAAAGTTTCTCCCATTACTGTAAAAAAATATATTTTCGAGTTACAGTATTAGTATTTCTGTTCTGAACACTATAGTCAAACTGTGATATGAAAACTGTCTCCTATAAGCAGTTTTATTTAAATACTTAATATCTTAGCCAATGCACTTTTGCAATAGTAATATAAAATCTTTTCGCATGGATTAACGGCACATATAGGTATTACAATGCCTCTCAAAAAGATTTGTACAAGATCTAATTTTTATACATATTTTGAAATCCCTGAAGATATTGATCTCTACAGTTGTCTATTAAATGTTTTAAATCTAATTCATTACACATATAATTTTAACTTATACAAAGCTTGGAAAGTTTTGTCCTCAATGACCTACTTTTACTTATGTCATTATTATGTAAAAGTGTAAAGGTGGATGTTATCCCACAACACACTGACTCTGTCCTCTCACTGGACAATCTTTACTTAACTGAGACAGCTAGCCACTAAAGCTTAAACACTTACAAAGTACACTGGAAAAGGCCCCAGCGATGCTATGCATTAACTGTGAGGTAAAAACATCTCAAAGATACTGTTGCAACAGGAATTGGAGTCTTGAGATGAGCCACACCCCCAAATGGCCTTTCCTAAACCTTACAGCTGTATTCACTGCAAACCAGAGAACTTTCTAGGCATCTTTCCCATGTATATTTGGCAAAGCTCATGCTGCAACAAAGAATAATTTAAAACAAGAATAAGACAGATGTGCATTTCACCTCTGGATTGTGTCAGGAGAGGGACACATGAGAAAGATGCCAGCATATGCTTAGCTACATGAGCAACTGCAGGTAATTACAGGATGGGGAGAAAACTGAAAACACTGAGTTACAATTTCTAAATTTTTGACCAATTAGCAAGAGGTTCATCTTTTTTTCCCTACAAGTTTAAGACAGAGGTTGAGAATTTTCTTATACAACATTTTCCAAATTTGAGAGACGCTTATTCAGAATTTATGTTTTGCGGGTCTTTGTATCAGATTTACAATTAGGCATGATCCTAAGAGCAACTGTAACAAAACAAAAACAGAAAGAGAAGCAACCAAAAAGTATTTAAGAGGAAATAAGTGGCACTCCTCCCCTACCCACCGTGAAGCTAAAGAGGTCCTCTATGGCTCTGGCATCCCTTGTAAAGAGCTAAGAAGAAGAGTATTGCCACATGTAAGGAACTTCACACTAGTAAGTGTTTCTACTTTTCCCGGGGTTTGTGACTTTGTGCCTTTGCAGTACTTATTAGGGAACCAAGGCAGGTACGGATTCCAGCAAGGTGGAGAAGCGACCCAGCTGCTTCTTTGAGTTCCTCATCAATCTCTGGACACGCCTGTTTTCGCATCTTTTTGCCTGGCTGTCCTTTTGGAGCACTGTCTTCGTGAGCTTGCGGTGCATAGCCGCTGTCTCCAAGAGGATCGTCCTCCTCATCAGCATCAGCGTCTGTGTCTTCTTCACTGTGGAAGCCCTCGCTGCCATCACTCCCCACGTGGCTGCTCTTTGGGATGAACTCATACACCTCATCCACAGAAGACAGGGAAGAGACGCTGGCCCTGGATGCACAGCGTTGAGCTGCCATGCTATTGGCGCTGTAATTGTGGTCGGCTTTCGGGTCGATGTTGGCCGCTGGAGAATGGCTCTCCTGCAGCCGCACAGCGCCGGGGGCACCGAATGCACTGCTGTAACCCCGCTTCTTCTGCAGTGACGATTTAAGAGGCAGAGGCTTATCGCCTGTGGGAAACAGAACTCCTATCAGTAAGTCAGAGGCATTTGACTGCAAAGGCAGATTACCTCCCAATTCTCACTTTCGAGTAGTATAAAAACCATTTGAAAGATAGCCTGTCCTTTCCATAGAACTTAAGTTACTCTGCACTATTTGCCAAGAATGTCTCAGTATGCCTGCAGACTGCTTGACAATTTCCTTGTGGGCATTTACATTGTTCCCAAGTTTGTAGTGGTCCAAGTAATGCTGCAATGTTGCATGCATGCATGCATGCCTTCCCCTCTCTCCTCTCTCTCTCTGGATTGGCAAAAAAAAAAAAAAAAAAAAAATAAAGGCTTGAGTAAAAAGGTAAATCTATTTTGAATTCAAGCATGCTCAGTTACCCCTGGGGGCCGGAACAACTGGCCGACAGTAGGTAACAATTGACCTATTTTCACACTTTTACACTACATTAGCTACCATTTACATTTTTTTGTTTCCTAAACTAAAGGCAGTATCTTACTTACTTTGCATCTCCCATATTTCTTCTGAGAGTCACTTTCATGCATTTTGCCAACTTTTCTGCTTTCCCATTCTTTGAAATGTATTTATTTAAATATTTTTGTACAATACACATTTATCACATTCTTTTCTTCTCCTAACTCCTATCCACCCACCTACCCACCCCAGCCTTAAATTCTTTCTTTCTCTCTCAAACAATAAAAACAAAATACAAAAACTGAAATCAAAATGGACTAACTAAACCAAACAAACCCAGTGTAATGTGTAGTCTTCCTGCCAGCTACCTGGACCCTGCCAAGCTGTCTGAACCCCCAAATAACACACAGGAAGCTATATTAATTATAAGCTGTTGGTTTGGTTTCTTACTGACTAGCTCTGACTTAAGTATGTAACCCATAGTTGCTAATCTGAGTATTTCCATGTGGTCTTCACTTACGGGGGAGAAGGGTCCACATGTTGCTTCTCCCGTGTCCTACATTGTGGCTCTGTCCTGTCTTTCCCAGAATCCTCAACTCCTAGTCCTACCTATCTTGCTTTCCTATTGGTCAACAGTGCTTTATTCAAAAACCAATAAGACACAGATTTACAGAATGACATCTTTCATCAACCCAGTAAGAAAAAATTAAAGTAAAAAAGTAAAAAAAAGCAAAGCACTACTCCTAGATATGGGGCCTACGATCGGAAGAAACAGCTTTTCCTTGTCCAGCAAGTACCAAGTGCCAATAGCTTCTCAGTTAGGTGCTCTGGGCCCTCTTGCCCTTGGTGCTGGGATTCTGTCTGTTCTGAACCAGTACAGTCAAGCATGTTGCCAGTCTGTTAAGTTCATGTCTGTATCAATACTGTTACCTGAAAACCACTGCCTTCCCACTACCTCTGGCTCAGACTCTCTGCTCTCTCTTCCCTTCAGATCCTGGAGTCCCTGACTGTGTGGCAGCTGTGGGTCCTGTTTGCGTCTTACTTGTTAGACCTTTTACAGACATGATATTTATCTTTTATCTCTTATACACAGTTCCCCCAGTATTCTGCATCACTTCTCTTAATTTTTTGTAGTACTTAAGGTCAAACTTGCCCAGAGCCTTGCACATGCGAGGCAAACTGAAGTCCCCAGCCTCCCAGTCTCCTATTTACCACATTGTTTTCAAACAAGATGGTATGTATCCCAGGCTGGTCTCAAACTTGCTATATGTAGCCAACGATGACCCTGAACTCCTGGTCTTCTTGCCCTACATCCCAGGTGCTGAGATTACAGGAGTACAGCACCAAAGAAATTTTCCTTATGGAGTTTGCAATTTGTAGCTTAACACTTTTCCTATTCCAAACTCTAAATATCCTTTAAAAATTATTTTGTGTGTGTATCTTGTGCACTCTGACCTGTGTATGGAAGTCAGAGGACAACCCCTGAGAATCCCAGGAACTGGACTGGGATTTGGCTTGGTGGCAAGTATGTTTACCCACAGAGCTATCCCACCAGCCCAAATGATAAATGCCCTTTCCTACAGTGAGTCTGTAGCTTGATCAACACAGCAATCTTCCACAGCAGTGCCTTCATTTTTTTCAAATGATTATACCAATAGAAATACAATACAATAGAAACCGAGTCATTCACATTAAAACACCATTTAGCGGAAAAGAAGTAATTCTGCTACGACATTAGCCATCTTGTATTTGAAATCATTAGCTTGGAAATAGACTTATAATGATTGCTTACATTCTAAAATCTCTTGTTCTATTGAAGTATTTAGAAGTATCATTGCAGTGGCAGCATCAATATCAGATTCTGAAAACAGAGAAGAGAGGTAGCATTAGTGTCAAAAATGTCAGCAGTAGGACTTAGGTGGCCTAGAATCATGACAGACACCTTCCATCCCAGCATTTAGGAAGCAGAGGCAGATCATGGTGCTATGAATTCAAAACTAACCTAGGGTTGGACATGATCTAAATATGAAGTCTCCATCCATTATATCTTAAAATCGAAATGTTTACACTAGAGAGCTTTCCTACTTCCTTGCTTTAACTGACTTTCTGTTACTATAGACAATGAACATTGCAGATATAGACTTGTTTTCTCCCTAACATGCTGCAATGTTACTGGTGTCTGCTCATACTTGTTTTGGGAGACAAAAGTCTATATATAAATGCCAGGCTGGCCTTGCACTAGTGTTCCTCCAGCCTCAACTTCCTGAGTACCGGGGATTAAAGAAATGAACCACCAGACCTGGCCTATAAGACCACATTGGGTTTTAGTAACAAGTTCATGTATATCTCACATGTCAGAAACTATAGTGCCTGCCTGCAATTCTAGGTCAGCCTGGCCACCCATAGAGACCTTGCCTCAAAAATAAATAAACAAATAAATAGAGGGGCTCCCTAAATGTCAGGTGAGGTTTGTTTCAGCGATGGATGGGCCCCTGAAATACAAGTGTTCAAGGATTAGCACTCCTCCTCAATAAGTGTTCATGATTACAGTAGAAATTGTAGAAAATAACCGGAATACAATGTAAGTCTCCTTCTGTTACTCATCAAGTAAGTTGACTGCCCTACTGTAAGTCCATTATTCCAGACTGAAAATACAGCAGACAAAAGAAACAAGCTGTCACCTCTTAGAACAGAGAAACAACAACTAAAACATTTCAGCAGTGACAAGTACAAGGGAGGAGAAGTGGAGAAGGTAGGAGTTAGATGAAGAACTCAGGGAGGTTGGGGAATGTCCAAAGCAAAGCACAGAATGTGAGCCAACAGGCCACGGGTCACAACAGAGAGATGATGGGCAAAACAGGTCTCCAGTTCCCGCCTCTTGAGACTTAAGGCAATGTGATAGAGTTCAACACGCTCTTGGGGGGAAAATGCAACTACTACATATTGTCACGCTGTAAAATGGAAAAAGGGAAGCACTTTTCCAAGTGAATGTTCCCAACTTGTGGAGAACAGCTCAAAGACGGGTAGGTGGGTTGGATTTCAAACTCCGCTCATCCCACCAAGTGTCCTGGCACAAGTCGTAACTTAGCAGGACTACTTTCCATAAGTAATTTCTCTCCATAAGAGAGGATCTAATCTTGTTTCCAATTTTATTTAAAAGTGAGAGGAAAATTACAGGGATTTTAACATCTATAAAGAAGACACCTAAAATGCTTCTCATTTAAAGTTCATATATATTTGCATTTCTTTTTTAAAATTTATTTTCATTTATGTATGCCTGCTGAAAGCACATGAAGGTGTTGGATCCTTTGCGCTGGAGCTTCAGGTGATCGTGAGCTACCTGATGGCTGATGCAAACTAAACTTGGGTCCACGAAAGAGCAGCAAGCACTCTTTAAGAAAAGGGTTTCCTGTCATATTATGACAATTCTCAAACAATTTTTTAATTTCAACATCAAAAGTTCAAAACATGGAATCCAAGAACACAATTAACAGGGATCTGCCCAGAGTTGAACTTCTTTTAACAAAACCAACAAAAATCCTCTTGGTAGTAACTACAGACAACTTTTATTGGTGATACGATTAGTCAGTTTTGGTGTTAAACAGAATATATGTTTGTGATGACTGAAATACTTTGCTATTTTTTCCTTCAGAGTGCTTACACTGCTTTAGAGGTGGTGTTTCTGAAACACTGCAATGCCATTAGCTACATTATACAACAGCATGTCTAGCTCATTTGTAAACCACAATTTGATGTTCAAATCACTTATAGTCGAGACATACTACTGATTTCATAACTGGGTCAAACAGTGACCCATCAAAACAGTTCATTTCCTTCCTCTATCCCTGCCCCTTTCTTTATGACTTCCAAAACAGTCTGACTGTACAGCCTAAGCTAACAAGCTTTTCAGCAATCCTCCTGCCTCAGGCTTCCAACTGATGAGATTACAACACTTTGCCTGGTCACACTGCTAACTTCTACCTCTTGAGTTATGCTTTAATAGTCTTCATCTTGGGAAACTATTAGCGGGTGGGGCTAGGGTACCAATTTTAATCCCATGAAAGAGACAAAGATGTTTCTATTATCTGATTCTCAGTCCATATGCTTAAGGAATAAATATGAGAATAATCAAACCATATTTAAATGGTTTAGCTTAGTAATAATTACAGAAGTTACCTACTCTATCTAAATGAACACATACACTTATAAGTTATCCAGAAGGAGAAGCTGCCTCTTAGAATTCTTTTTTTTTTTTTTTTTTTTTTTTTTTGAGACAGGGTTTCTCTGTGGCTTTGGAGGCTGTCCTGGAACTCACAGAGATCCGCCTGCCTCTGCCTCCCGAGTGCTGGGATTAAAGGCATGCGCCACCAACGGCCGGCTCTCTTAGAATTCTTTAAGCAAGGTAGCAAACTCACTAGAACTACCAATATTTTAATCCACCTTGTCCAAAGTTCATTTAACCTTAAAAAAATGCTACTCTGCAATCATCAATGTGTGATTAGATGTGCACTTAATTTAACCTTTAACCTCACCACCAACTGTCAAATCACAGACTTACAGGTGGCCCCCTAAGGGTTTCAGTAAAATAAACACGGAAACTTGGTGACCAGAATGAGTTCATTTCTATTTTCCTCACTGCCTGTGTGTAGCTCAGCAGTGCTTTTCACCAAGCTATCCCAGTTTTGCTGGTTCCCATAACTAACCTCTGCTCTTATGTGTCTAGTGGTAGCTTAATATATCAGTCAGGAAAGTGATTCCATGAAGGGACAGATGAATGTGTTTTAATTCTAGGCCCAATAGGATGTATAAGTGATTTTGTAAAACAAAACTAGTATTTTAACCTCATTGTTTGAACCCTTCAGCAGCTTCTGTGCCTTCCAGCTGGAAAGAAAAAGCACAGGCTACACGCTTCTAACCTTGGATCTGAATCCCTCTATGCCACTTACCACTTTAAATCTCTCCAAAGTTTACTCCCCTTATCTGTTTGCTTTTTAAAGTGTAGAAACATCTCAGAGGGTTGCATGAGAATGCTGCAGGCACCGCAGTGAGCACTGAAACCAGCTGTCCCCACGCCCGTCTGATGCCTCTGCTTCCCTTTGCCTTGCCCACATGAGAGACAAACACGGTGTCTGCATGGTCCTCTCCTACACCGAGGCTGCAGCCACTCTTCAGCATGCTTGCCAGATGCCTAGCAACGACCAGACAACTTTCTTAATGCTAGCTAGCATCCTGTCCTGTAACTCTGCGTGCCCTGCACTGACCCATCCTCAGAGATTCAGCAACCTTGCTATGTGTGAGGCTCAGCAGCTCAAGCATCAGTTCCTTTCTGAAGATGGAACATGTGATGAGACTGTGCACCATTCGAGCACAGGTTCACTCATTTCTTCCCTTGTTTGGGACATGGCTCTCTGTAGACCAGCCTGGCCTGGAACTCACAGAGATCCGCCTGCCTCTGCCTCCTGAGTGCTGGGATTAAAGGCTCGCACCATCACCACACACTCATGTCTTTCTTAAAGAGCCTTTCTGCCCAGATTAGTATCATACTCACTGCCTCCTACTGCTGCATAATCCCAAAAGTGAACCTTCTTCAGTTCACCTACTTCTTTTTTTCCTCCTTTTTGGGGCTCTTTCCATACGAAGCAAACACTAAGCAACATCTCTGGAGAAACATATCAGGTCAGCCTGAATCTCACCTTCGCAGATCTCAAGGCACCATAGATGGCACCGGCACAATGTAGGAATTCAATAATTACTTGTGATCATTGTTTCACCTATTTGGTTATTTTTCAACCTCTCCAGAAGCAATTTGGGGGGGGGAAACAAATTTTTTCTCAGTCTATAAATAAGCCCTAACCAACCAAATTTAAATAAGAATTTTCTTAAACTTTTAAAAGTTCTTATGTTTTGCCTCCTAAAATTCAGGAGAATTTTGTGTTAAAGTCCAGAGCAGGCCTAGAACCGTGTTCATCTGGAATACTGGCCCCCCTCACCTAACTCACCCTGGCTAGGGGAACAGGCCTCATATCCCTGAGCAAGGATAAATACAAGTGATGGTGGCAAGGGATGACACATGGTAAGCGGGCATCAATCACAGGAAGGAACAGAAAACAGGCTGCAACTAGGGAACATCTCCATAGGAAGCAACCAAATCTGGAAGCAATGAAGTAAGAGCAAGAAGAGAGTCGAAGAAATCTCAGAACTCACAGAGCATGTCTCCAAATCTACAGGAAGTGAGCTCAAGGGTAAGATTCAGAAGTTACTTGGGATACAGAAAGACAAGTATCTCAGCAAGGCCTAAAGGTAAGGGAGAGCCCATCTTCCCAAGAATGTAGCAGGAAGCATTCTGGCTTTCCTGGAGGCAGAGGATCATCAGAAATTATTCCCTTCCACTACATTTCCCTGCAAAGTTTTCCCTGAAGCTTCTCCCTCCCTTATTTTTGTAGGAAGCACAGCTTTGTAAGCTTCAAGGAGGCAAAATATCTGACAAGCGCAAGGCTTTACTGTGAGGTTTTCATGTTTGAAGCACATGGAAATGTTTAAGAATTACAACACTACAGAAACTCAATTATGAGCAGGGAGGAAATCCACCACTTAAGAGTTGAAGGTGGGGATGTTACTCAGGTATGGAGCTGGCCAACACGCACAAGGCTTTAGTCCTCAGCACTTTCAGAAATTAACAACCCTGAAGCTGCTGGAGGAGACACTAGGGCAACACACACCCAGAGATGCGAGCACAGCTGTGGACTGTGTCAACAGGAGCTCAGCCAAGGGGAGGAGACCAGCAATCAGTACACAGCAACGCCCCCATGCACAGCAGGTAAGGCAACTGACGACAGCCTACGGGATGGAAGAGGACCTTTCCCAGTTATGCGTGACAGAAGTCATTCCTAGTATATGCAAAGAACTAAAAGAAATTAAGTAACAAACAACCAAATCAGAAAATGAGCCGGGAAGGCTGGGAATCTAGTTCAACTGGCACAGTATTTACCCTAGCAGCATTGAAGCCCTGGATTTGAACCTAAGAACAAAATAAACTTGGCAAGGTGGTGCATGGCTGTCATCCCAGCACTTTGGAGGCAGAAGTAGAAGGATCAGAAACTGATGTTGGTGGACAAGGAGAAAGTATAACCATCATTCATTGTTGTTAGTTAAGTGTATGAATTCCTGCAGCTACTATGGAGATCAGTTGGAAATTTCCCAAAAGACTAAAGAGAGAAATTTGTATGACCCAGCTATCATACCCTGGGTATATACCCAAAGGACCCCAAATTTTACTACTGAAATACCTGTACATCTATGTCACTGCTGTTGCATTCACAATGGCAGAAACAGAATCAGCTAGACATCTAGCTGATGAATGGACAATGAAAATGTGGTACATATATATACAAGTCAGCAGTGAAGGAAAACCAAATGATGCAACTTGAGGGAAATGGATGAAGTGGTGTATTCTGTATGTATTAACTGAGGCTGAGAAGGATGACACAGAGCATGTTCACCCGCATATATGGAGCTTAGCCTGTATTTTTCATCTATGTGTACCTGTGTGAAAATCAGAGTGTATGTAGATGCCTGGACACCGGAAAGGTCCCAGAAGGAGACAGCGGCTGTAAGAGAGAATGATGGAGAAAGTACCAAACACATGATATGGACATAAAAGGTGGAGGAGCAGGGAGGGTATGGTGACAGCCTTAAATCCCAGCACTGGGGAGGCAGAAGAAGCTGCTGGGTCTCAATGAGTTCCAGGCCAGCCAGGGCCACATAGAGAGATTCTGTCTTGAAAAACAAACACAAGCAAACAAAAAACAAGCAGAAGAAAAGGGGAACACTGAGAATGGAAGGGTTTAAGTAGATGGGGACAAAAGCAGATAGGATGGGTAAGGGAAGAAAAATTTAAAAAAGAACACAAGTATGAAAATGCCATAAAGATTAAGGGGAGGAGGCAAAAATACAAAAATTCCTTTAAAAGAAGTGAAGTTACTTCGTCTAAAGTAAGCCTTTCAGACAGAAATAACCTATAAAAATACTCTGAACTACATCCTAATCTAAGGGATGGCAAAATTCTTTAGCAAAGGGCCATGAGCAAAACCAAAGGAGAGATTGTAGTCACTGCTGTAGCGGATCCTACTGCTATGCAGCAGACACCATGTCTCAAAATATTGTTAGTTTTTTTTCTCCATTTCATAAGTATAAAGTTATCATGGGTCACATAATAATAGGCAAAAGTAACTCCAATGCTATTACTAAAAAATTAGATTTTCAAGGAAGGATACACAAAAAGAGGAATTAACAACGCACAGAGCAATGAAGAGGAACATAAAATGCCTACAAGTCACTAAAGAAAAACATGTACATATACGTCACACATATATGTCACCAATGTACATATACATCACACCAATCACACCAATGGTAGATGATGACTTTCTCTTTAGAGAGGAGATCATGATTCAGCAGAACGGTCTTCATACATACCTTTAAGAGTTTGCACTTGACTTTGCTTGAGAACAGAGCTCAGGTAGTGAGGCGGTAAGGAACCACTAAAAAAGGGAGGGAAGACAGACACTTACAGAATCCATTTCTATAGACCCCAGCCACAAGCACATCTGTAGCATGTACCACAAAACCCTAACAAATGTAGTTTACCTTGCTGTCTTTGCTAATAGCACTCAGGTTAGAAAGAGCTGCCAAAGTAGAAAGTGAGCAGGGGTCAAGATAATTAAAATAATTATTGTTAAAAATAATTTGTCTCTTAATTTCTTCACTTGTAAGACAGAAACAATCACATTTCTCATATAGTATTTTGTACCAGTCACATAATGTATTTTAAATGTCTTGAACAATATTTAAGAATTATTTAAATTTGATAAAATACTAATAGCTATTAGTTTAACACTAAGAATTTATCAAAATAAGTATTTTAAGGAAAATTTCATATAATAATGCCACAGACTTGGGTTTTCAGGTCTTTTTAAGCACAAGAAGTCAACCTTTTTTGGGAGGGAGGGATTATATTTGTGAGACTAGGAAAAATCTTTTAAAATGAAATTAAAAGTTTATTTCCTATCCAATTTTTATATATTCTTCATTCTTTTTCCCAGACTTATGAATTATAGGAGGGTTACATTAAAACATGCCAGAAGGAGTCAACAAAATGAAACAAAATGTTTTCATGTTATTAGTTTTAAAGCCAACAACTGATAACTCCCATGCTATTATTTACTCTTAAAAACCAAAAACCAAAAAACCAAAAAAACCTGCAAAATCACTTCTAACCCTAAAGTTATGGTAAGCCTAAAGACACACACAAATGTAAATGAATAGCATGAAGATAGTGAAATGCGCTTTGTGAGGGCTTACAAGGCAGTGCCATCCCCACTCCATCCTTAATTAAGAGCATAGCCAAACAAGTCACACAAGTAAATGTTACAGATATTTCCTTTATCTCTCAATTAGTATTTAAGTAGAGTATCTCATCCTCATAAGCACCAATATTAACTAAGAAATCAACTTTCTTTTTTGTTCTTTCTCACAGATCCCCGCCTCCCTCTGTGTCCTCAGTTCTGGGATTAAGGTACAACACTACACCTGGCTGCAATCGATCATTCCTTTTAAAATTTTGTCTCATAAGGATACATTACCTACTGGTTCCTTTTACAATGACTGATATAATGTCCAAAAAGGACAATACTACTGACATTTCAGCCTTACTCTCCTGGTCATTAACTACATTCATATAATAATGAGTCAAGAATTCAAATGAACTACAATGGGAAATTCTGAATTTTTTGCAGTGAGATTTTATTTTTTCTCATTTCCTTTCAGACTTTTTGAAAAACAAAGTAAGCATCAAAGACTACCCTTAAATTTATCTTAATAAGGCAAATTCTAACACAAATGAATATATGTAATAAAAATTTAAGATTCTTAAGGTTTCCTTAGGAAAAAGAATTAAAACCAGATTTGGAGGGATCATCTAATGTCTAGATTTAACAGAATGAGAAACATAAAGCCAGGGGAAGCTGTAAGGAAATACACAATGACAATGTTTTCCAGAAAACAACAACATAAAACCTCAAGGCATTATTTTACTGGACAAACATTTACAATTTTAATCTTGAATTTAACTTTCAAATAGTGTTTTCAAAGAGTTTATCAACTTAAAATACAGAAGGGCAGGCAAGCATGGTGGTTCAATGCAAGTGACTTCTGAATCTGGGACAGTTAGACAGGGTTGCAATGAGCTTCAGGCTGGCCTGGGTGTGTGGTGGTTTTTGGCCCCCTTAGGGGGCTTGTTGAAAGGAGGAGTGTCACTAGGAGTGGGCTTTAATGTTCAAAAGCCCATTCCAGGCCCAGTCTTTTTCTGTGTCTGCTGCCCGTGGATGAGGGCATAAAGATCTCAGCTACGACTCCAGTGCAATACTTCCTGCCATGATGATAATGTATTAACCCTCAGAAAGTATAAGCAATTCCCAAATTAAATGTTTTCTTTGACAAGAGCTGCCTTGGTCAAGGTGTCTCTTCATAGCAATAGAACAATAACTAAGTCAGAAAGAGACACATCTCACCAAGATGAAACAAAGCAAAACATAACAAATAGAAAAAGAAACCTTAAACGGTGTATCAAAAATGGTATCATTACAAACTGTGAATCATTATATTTTAATTTAATATGCATTTAATTTATTGTATAAGTCATTATTAGCATGCAAACAATTAAAATGAGTTAGTACTTTTGCAACTCAAGTTATATAATTTATTTAGCTTATTTATACTGTACTGACTTTATTTCTGAGAATTTATATTCAACCATCCAGCATCTTATTGCTGTGGGATAATTATTCATACAGCCATTCCACTGTGCCAATAAAGCCACCCTGAATCAAAGGACAGAGTCAGCAACTGGCTGACTGAGATTAGCCACAGAGTTCTTAGAAGCTTTCGGAGATCTGCTGGAAAGAACAGGAAGAGGGAAGAAGGATTTCTAGGGGATTTCTGGAGGGTCAGTCAATCTACTCTCTGATGTCCTTTGATTTACCAGATCTTTATCTCAATTTCTGACTCCTAAGTTTTTATTATACTGGAACATATATTGGGTACATCCAGTGCCCCTTGGTGGGCACCAGGTATAATGAGTCTTTCTCTTGTTGCAGCAGCCAGCTCCCAAATAACAACACGGAGACTTCTTGTTAATTATGAAAGCTCAGTCGATAGCTTAGGCTTGTTTCTAATTAGATCTTATAACCTAAATTAACTCATTTCTGTTAATTTATGTTCTACCACATGGCTCGTGGCTGTCACCTCTCCTCCTGCATGTTCCTCAGAGGCATCTGGCTGGTGATTCCCCTTTCTTCTTTACAAAGCTCTTAGTGTCCTGCCTAGCTATTCATCATTTAGTTTTTTATTAAACCAATCACAGTGACCTAGCTTTACACAGTGTAATCAAATATCTCACAACATTTTATTTTCTAGAAAAAGAGAAATTAAGCCGGGTGTTGGTGGCACACACCTTCAATCCCAGCACTCAGGAGGCAGAGGCAGTCAGATCTCTGTGAGTTCGAGGCCAGACTGGTCTACAGAGCCAGTTCCAGGACAGCCTCCAAAACAATACAGAGGAAACCCTGTCTTGAAAAACCAAAAAACTTAACCAAGAGGAAAATACCTTTGGTTAAAGAAAGCTGTCAATGCTTCTCTACGAAATTAAATAAACACACAAATAAAACAAGGTACTACAACTTTGTTTTCTCCATCTTACAGACAATATATCTAAATCACACAGAGGGTCCTTACCTTTGTGGAGAGGAAAAAGGTTGCTTCTTCAAGGCCTGCATAAGGTTGGGCTTATATTCTGGATCAACACACCATAAGGACCCTTTTCCATTAACCTGGGGGAGGGAAGTACAAGAATAATAGCTTGGAACTTTTATGTATCACAATCTGTCAGACTGCTCTGAGTGAGTATATGGGGAACACCTCGCCCCTCCCCCCCACAGGCTGAAGTGAAGGCTGGAGCAGCACAGGGCTACAGTGCCTGCTGCAAAACCCACACCTGCTTCCCCAATCCCCCCAAAGTGGAAGTGAGTCTGCTATACATGACTGACTGCAGCACCGGGAAACACAGAAAACTTGTCTAACCACAAGGGGAGAGAGGTTCAAACTTATTTATACCCAGGTTTATATAGCATATAACACTTAAGTTTATTTACACCCACCCCACCCCCCACCCCGTGGCGTGGGACAGGTTGAAGGAAAAAGGAATCGGTCCTCTCCTTGTACTGAATAGATCTCAGAACTCAGAGTCAGGTCCTCCAGACTCGGCAGGAAGTGCCTTTTCCTTCTAAGCCATCTCAACGATCCTAGGCTTTTTATAATTTACTATTTCCTTTTCTCATGCTCCTTCCTGGTATAAAATCTTGTTTAATGTAATTATCTCCACATTGCTTCCATTTCCTAGATTCTTTGTCACACAATATTAGTCCATTATTGAGATCTTTTATCTTTGAATACGGTTTCATTTTTATAAAGTGGCATAATGAAAAAATATTGTTCCACAAGTTTGGAACTAAGACCCGGGTTTGGAGAGACGGTTCAGCAGTTAATAGTGCACTCTACTGCACTTGCAGAAGACCAAGTTTGAGGCTCATAACCACATATAACACAGTTCAGGGGGTATGCCACCCTTTTTGACCTCTGTTGATGTCACACAGGAATAATACACACTCGCACACATAATAAGTAATTTTAAAAAAAGTCCACCCACTAAGAACAGAATAATTTTGAACATGTTGGCAACTGGTGAGACATGCAGAAAAAGGAAAATCAAGCATGTCTCTTACACAGTCACATAGGGAGGACTGGGCAGAGATATCAGGGGAGACATCTCTCTGGAATTCAGTGGTAAGGCACCACAGAAAGAATAGTAAGCATTAGGGCCAGTGTGGTATGATCTAAGTACTTGGGAGGCAGAGGCAGGAGGACTGTCTTAAGTTCGAGGCCAGTTTTGTCTACATAGTGAATTCTGCCCCAGCATGCACTGTATAACACACACACACACACACACACACACACACACACACACACACACACACGTGCACTCACCCTGTCTCAAAAACAAAAATAACTAAAAAACCCAAGTAACTGACAAGTTTTCCCAAGAAATGTTAAGATTTACAAATGTATTTTTAGATTAAGTGATAAAAACCACACAAATGATAGATGTGTTTTGACAATTGGGAAATAAAACTGTCAACACACACATCTTTTGTTCCAATTAGGTTTCATATACACATACAAGTAATTTTTCATACACTGGCCAGAACAGTTCTGCCAATAACTACCCAAGTTCTACCTTGGCATTCCAGGGATAGCTCCTACTGTTTCAAGACTTGTTTTCAAATTCTATAGCAGGAAGTCTGAAAATTGTTTTTCATCACAGGAGAAAAAGCTATTTCCTTGAAACAGCAAATTGTAAAAGCTGAGGACTTGCAGTTTCAGTACTGTTTCCTGGCTTAGGTTGCCATGGCAGCACTTCCTTCCGCTGGTCTGTTCAGGAGCTACCAGGAACAAGAAACCATCAACTTGCTTATCTATAGTTTAGATTCTGAAGAAAGATGAACTAAATGCCACTTACAATTTGCTTAATTGATGAAGCACAAATGATAAGTTTTAGAAATACTGCTCTAAAATGAAAATTGCCTATAAGAGAAAAAGTGCCTGAACACTGACTGGAAAACAGAAAATACATATTCTCTCATTTACTATCATGAATTTTAAAACTAAGAATGGCAGAAAAACCGACTGAAGGTTTTGTAGAAAGGAATGTATTAAGGGGCTAAATTGCAAAGATTTATCTTAATAAAAGTCTTAATAAATTCAGAGAAGATACAATATTACTACTTCGAAAATGTTATGTTCTTGCCTTATACATTTTAAGAGTTCTTCTTCTTGTCTAATCTCTTCATGTATCTGTAGAATTACCAAATGACAAAACATTAAAACTAGACAAAATTTAATTCTATGTTTACAGACTAAAATCTCAGTCATAACACTCACATATTTAATAAAAATTCAGAGAAATGTAAGACTGGGTGTTGACTGAGAGTGTGACTCAGTGAGATGTTTGTCAACCATGTGCAATGGCCGTGAGTTTGGTCCCCAGACCTGGAGGAGAAAAAGACTTCTCCCTTTAGATCTGACTTTTTTTGAAGGGCTATAGAGCATACAAAGGGACAGAGTATAGACCTTGCCTTCTGCAGGGAGAATTGCCATCTCTAGATGACATTCACTCAGGGACCCAATCCAAAACAAGCTGAGACAATGACTCAAAAAAAATTTCATAAATTCAAACAAAACGAAAGTCCACTGAGGTGAGGTGGTAAAGCTAATTCTATCTCTTGAGAGGTGCGGCAGGAACACCTTAGCAGCATTTCAATCAAGCCCCACTGGAGGCCAGCCTGAGCTACATACAGTAAGGTCTGCTCAAGGGAACAAAGCCATAGTGCTTTTCCTCTGGCCCCGGATTAACAATCCCCCTAAATCTCAAACTATTTTTTTGTTGTTGTTTGTTTTTCTCTGTAGCTTTGGAGGTTGTCCTGGAACTCGCTCTGTAGACCAGGTGAGCCTCGAACTCACAAAGATCCGCCTGCCTCTGCCTCCTGAGTGCTGAGATTAAAGGTGTGGGCCACTGAGGCCTGGCTTAAATCTCAAACTATTAAGCACAGAGTTCTACTAGTGTTCCCGAAACAAGGGAAAAGTTCCTCTGGGGTTCAAACACTCCATCCTGCAGGGAAGCTCAAGCAGAAAGTAAACAACTCCAAACAGCTTCAGGAAGCCCATGAAACATACAGGGCAAACAAAGAATTCTGAGTCACTCTCCTTAGCCAAGAAGAGTTCCAAAGCCCCATGTCTGGAAGAAGCAGAGACCAACTGAGCTACCTGGAAAGCACATTCTCTGACCTGCTGAGCGGCCTGCAGGCTGGGGCAGTATGCTCCATGCTCCCAGCGTTGTGAGCTGTCACCTGTGCTGGGATGGGCTTTGGTGATGCAGCTGTCTTTGACTCATTTTGACTCCTGTTAGAACCCCTCAAACATTCAAATAAAATCAGTGGTTCACCAAGTTGGACTTCGGTGGTATCTGTACTCATAGCTTCTTCTCTCTTATCCTTACTTGTGACAGCTGGCCAATTTTTGCTCCAGTGTTACAATTTCTACCTTATTTTTTTCATGGACAGGTGATTCGTTTTCTCAAATTCTACCTAAACTTAACACAATATTCTTTCCCATTCTCTACCACTCACCTCCTTACTTCTTTCTCTGAACACTGTAATTGCTCAGATTAGCAAGTGTGCCAGTACAGACCTGAAACACTGCATTTAATGAAACAGGCAGGCAGATCAATAGCAAGAATTCAAGCCTGGGCCTGGAGAGTTGGTGCAGAGGTTAAGAGCACTGGCTGCTCTTGCAGAGGAACTCAGTTCACTTCCCAGCACCTGCATGGTGGCTTAGAACCACTTTAACTCCAGTTCCAAGTATTTAATGCCCTCTGGCCTCTGCACACTCCTACATGTACATAGTGCACACACACACACATTTATTGACATACGCATAAAACAAAACAGTCTGGGCAGTGATGGCACACCCAGGAGGCAGAGGCAGGCAGATCTCTGAGTTCCAGGCCAGTCTGGTCTACATAGTGAGTTCAAGGCCAACCATGATTTAAATTTAAATTTTGAAACATTGCTTCAAAAGTTGAAAAAAATAAAATGAAATCTTTAATGACTTCCATGCCATTGTGATGATCTGAAAGAGAATAGCTTTCACAACAAGCTCCTATCTTTAAATACATGGTTCCCAGTGGTGAATTTTTTCAGGAAGGATTAGGAATTGTAGTCTGTTGGAAGAAATGTGTCACTGGGGGGTGTTTTGAAGTTTCAAAGGCTCATGCCATTCTCAGCTCCCTCTCTGCCTCATGCTTGTGTCTCAAGATGCAAGCTCTCAGCTATGACTTCAGCGTCACAGCTCTCTGTCCACTGTCATTCCCTACTAAGGTGGTTATGGAATCACCCTCTGCAACTGTAAACCCCTCGATACACTTTCTCCTGTAAACTGTCTTGGTCATGGTTTTTTTTTTTTTTTCCCAAGACAGGGTTTCTCTGTGGCTTTGGAGGCTGTCCTGGAAACTCGCTTGGTAGTCCAGGCTGGTCTCGAACTCACAGAGATCCGCCTGCCTCTGCCTCCCGAGTGCTGGGATTAAAGGTGTGCACCACCACCTCCCAGCTGAAAGGGGGGCTTTTGATTGTGCGACTTCAGTACTTTGCTAGATGGACCTTGGTAGTCAGTCTCCGGAGGAGGAAGAGGCCAAGTAAGGTTAGCTTTAGGAATATAGTCTATAGGTTTAGCAAGGCAAAGGGAACGGGAGCAGCACAAGGCCTGCCAGAGCCATGTTTGCCATGCTCAGGCTGGCCAGAGCCCCTCACATATTAAAATGAAACACCTCATCCTAACACCGGGTTCCCCTTTTTAACTTCATAAGCTGTCATTTTCCTATGGGCCATGTCTGTCTCCCCTCTGTCCAGAGCAGTCTGTCCCTCCAGGACAAATACCCCAGCCTCATTCTCTTCCTCTTCTCCTCAATCCTCTATCACCTGTCTTTGTCTTTTAATCCCTGCCCTTTGTCCTCTGGGGCAAATCTCCTTTGTGCTGAGAAGTTGGTCCCTTCAGTATGTATACAGAAACAACAAACAACAAAAGGTCACAGAAGCCCAGAGCAGAGCTATACCACAAAGCTTTGAGGAAGTGGTTTCTCCATAGAGAATAGGAAAACACTACAGATGGGATAAGATAAAGACCACAATACATATGAGATTACCCAAAATGCTACACTAGTAAGACAAAAATGAAAAAAAGAGTAAAAGTTAATGGTTGCCAGGCAGTGGTGTGGTGGTGCCCTTAATCCCATCACTTGGGTGCCAGAAGCGGGTGGATCTATATGAGTTGTAAGGACAGCTACTGCTACACAGAATCCTGGTATTTAATGCCCCCTCCCAAAAAAAGTTAATAGTAAAAAGAACAAATCCAGGCAAGTATCAACATGATATTATATATTATGCAAATCCAGGAAAAACAAATTTCTAAAGCTATTCTCACCATTTCTATACACACATATAGATATATATGTGAAGTGTATATACACACACACGTACATTTTAATTGATGAGAGATGAAGATGTAAACTAGGATCCTTGAGAATTTATAAGTATTTTATTTCCTATATTCTAACCCTGGTTTCTGCAGGCCATAGTCCAATAACTTTACCTATCTGAGTCTCATTATCCTGGTTATGAAATAAGAGTTTATCAGGATAACACATAAACTCCTTTGAAATTTTATATTCAAGTAACTAGGCATCATAAAGAACAAACATCAAGCTTAGACTCTTGGATCCTAGAAGGAGATAAAGTCCAACTCATATAAACTTTATCAGACATAACTCTAGATTAAACAGTTAGCTGCAAATGAGGTCTGGCTTTTAGGAGACCAACTTGAGAGTCATTAGCATCTAGATACTAAGTGAAGCCCTGGAAATGAAAATGGATGACATGACCCAAGGAAACACTGACCAAGAAAGATGACAGTGAAAACTTTTAAAAAATGTTTAAGAAGTTAACGGTAAAGAAAAACCAATCCAGGCAAGTATGAACACAGTATTATGTAGTCTATAAATCAAGAAAAATGAAATTCCTAAAGCTATTCTTACCTTACAACACAACGTCGAAACAAGTCAGCAGACTCAGACAGGTACTAGACTGTGCAAACCTGTCTTTATGGAACTGTATCCACGTGCAGTACTAGGTACTAAGGGAGTCCAGACATGTGTTGGACAACAATGCACGTGTCACAAATGATTATAACCCAGTTTGGACCTCAGAACTGAACCCTAAGTAACTCATTATGATGGGCTCACCAGCCTTTACATGCATTGTTCCTTTCCGCCCTGCCTGCCTCCATTTCTAACCCATACACAAGCCTTTATATACCTTCTGTATCTACAGGAAACATATTGTTAAAGCACATTTAAAAAGTACAGAGAAAAGGCAACCTAAAAAGAATTCCTGTCACATTCTTCAGTGTGGGAATCCACTCCATAGGACTAGAGAGATGGGTCTGTGGTTAAAAGCACGCATTGCCCCTTATAGAGAACCCAAGTTCAGTTCCTAGCACCCACATTAGCTCTAGAGAATTCAACATCCTATTGTGATACTGTACTCATATGCAAACCCAGAAGCACCTGCACAATTAAAAATAAATAAAATCTTCCCGGTGGTGGTAACACACACCTTTTACCCCAGCACTTGGGAGGCAGAGGCAGGTGAATCTCCATAAGTCTGAGGTCAGTCTGGTCTACCCAGTGAGTTCCAGGACAGCCAGGGCTGTTACAGAGAGAAAGCCTGACTCAAAAACAACCAAAATAGATGACTGATAGATAGAAGTAGATACAATCCTCTTTCTTTTTAAATGAGACACACAACACACACCCTCAAAATAGAAAGAAACACTTTATGTGGTCTGGAGATACAGTGCACTGGAATGCTTGCCTAACCTGGTCAGGGTGAGGAAGGAACATCAGGAAGAATAATCCAGGTGACAAGGGCAGACAGAATGTAACTCTAGTAAGTTTCCCTCAACACTAAGGAATTTTAAAGCATCATAAAGTAAAGCAAATGATGAACATAATTAGTCTCAAACTAATCTGACTTGGCTTTGCTCCCCTGGTTACCCAGCATCTTAAGGACCTGCTCTAATCCCCCACCACACAGAGCAATGTTTATAAACACTGACCTTGCCATGGCTCCTTTCCACTTTCTGAAAACATTTATTCAGGGACAGATTATGCCGAACAGAATTCTTCCAGCCGGTGGGTGCGGTGGCAAAGTATGGGAAGCGGTCCAGAATCCAGCTATAAATTTCTTTCACAGGCAAACATTTATTGGGAGAGTGTTCAATAGCCATATAGATGAGAAGACTAAAGGAGTATGGGGGCTTTGAAGTTGCTGACTTCTTTTCTGGGCTCTGGAAGCAGGATGGTCCAAAGGCAGGCATGTCATCTCCCTCTATGTCATACAGCGGACTAACCATGGGAAGACCTTCACTTCCAAGCCTGAAGTTTGTCAGAAGATTACTGCTTTCATGAAGCCAGTTCAAATTCGTTAGTTCATCATCTGCTGAGTCACTGCCCACCAGGGTGGCCTTTGGCCTTGCAGCATCCCCAACTTCAGGCAAGCTTCCCATTTTGTAAATCTGACTTAGTCCTGCAACCTTCTCAGCTCCCGGGGTCTCAGCTCTCTTATCTGGAGTCATTCCAATTACTGGACCCATTTATTCGTATAGTTCTGCAATAAGAAATAAAAATTAAAAAAAAATTATCAATTAAATCTTAAACTCTGGAAAAAGCAAACAAACATTTACATATACACATCCAAATCAAAACAAATTTGCAACTGACTATGCCATACAAACAATACACACATCCATCCATTTATTGAGGCAGGGTCTCTCTTTGTAGTTCTGACTGTCCTCAAATTCGGAGATTCTCCTGCCTTTGCCTCCTATGTACTGGGAATACCACCACGCCCAGATCCCCATATAATATTTAAATATAAAATAGTTTTGACAGTTATAATGCATATAAAGTAGCTGCATTCCATTATTTGAAATAACAGATAATGAAAAAATTAAACAATATAGCTTGAATAGTAAAGTTTCCAGACCACAACCAGTAGTAGCTACTATTAAACATAATGGGGCTGGTAAGATAGCTTGGTAGATAAAGAGTGTTTACTCCGAGCCTGGCAACCTGAGTTCAACTCTGAGAAGCAACCCATCAGGGAGAAGAGAACCAATGCCTATGAGTTGTCTTTGGCCCTCTACAGGCATACAGTGCAAGTGTTATGCAGCTGTTCCAATACACAATAAATGTAATGTACAGACTATATCATGACTTCATAATTTATCCTAAGTATCTATACTTTACTGTAATAGTCCATACATACTGCTTAAACAATGTTTAAACAATAATTCCAAGTAAATCCACAAGTCTTAAATATTTATCATAAAAAATAAGTATTTCTAGAACTAGAGAGATGGCTTCGTATAAGAACACTTGTGGTACACACACGCATACATTCAAGCAAAACATGTAAAATTTAAAAAACTAGTTTTCTTTTTATATATCACAAAGAAAAAATTCTTTTCAAATTATTTTAATAGACAAAGAATAATTACATAATTTGTATATGTATACATTATGGAAAGATCAAAATAGGCTAATTGGTTGAGCATGGTGGCACATCCCCATAATCTCACCATTCAGAAGGTAGGAGGACAATAACTCCAGGTTCAAGAACAACTTGGTCTATATAGCAAGTTCTAGATCAGCCAGTGTGGTTAGTTTAAATGTAATTGGTTCCCATAAGGTCACAGGGAGTGGTACTATTAGGAAGTGTGGCTTTGTTGGAGTAGGTATGGCCTTATTGGAGGAAATGTGTTACTGTGGAGGCAGGCTTTGGCATCTCATACATGCTAAAGCCATGCCTGGTATCTCAGACCACTTCCTGTGGCCTGCAGAAGACATGAACTCTCAGTTACCTTTCCAGCACCATGTCTGCCTGCGTGCCTCCATGTCCCGCCAAGATAAGGACTGGACCTCTGAACTGTAAGTGAGCCGCCACTCCAATTAAATGTTTTCCTTTATAAGATCTGCCATGGTCACTAAGACAGCCAGGACTATGTAATAAAACCCTGCCACAAAATACCCCCCCAATAAATAATCACCTGACGTACTTCCTCTCCATGGTAAGAACATATTTAACACTTACTACTGGTTTAGCAATTTTGAGTTTTGAGACATTTTTGTCAACTATAGTCACAACGCTGCATAACAGAGAACCTGTGTAACTGCAACTCTTCACCTTCTGACTGATATTCCTGCCCCTTCCCGCTACAATACCTGATAACCACTTATTTCCTTCTACAAGTTCAACAGAATAACATTTCTTATTCACTATCAGCTAAGTCAAATTTTGTAAACATTTGCGGCTTCTTCTATCTCCAGTATTTTAACTCTCCATTCCAAATCATCTTACCCATCATCTCTCATAGGAAATTAGAACTGCCACTATATTGATTAATGAAGCTGCTTCTCAACTATCCTCTTGCATTTATTTCTAGTTCCTCAAATGACTTTTTGTTTTGCTTTTTAAATATACTTAAAAGATTATTCCTCCCAAAGGACAAATGACCAGATGTTAGTAAACGAACTACTTACTGTGCTGTTTAAATCATCTTCAGTGTACACAGGGAGGTCTTATTTTTAAAGCCAATGAAGTCTATTACCTATCCGACTGACTCATGCTTGGTTAACTGAGACTGGGATGATAACAACGTGCAGAGCTCATTCTGCTTAGAGCGGTCGGCGGGCTAGTGAATTACACAACTTGTCTGTTTGAATCCAGGGAGCTGCTACTAAATTCCTCCATTAGTGATAATACCAGCTGATACTTTCGGGGCCAAACGTTATTCTAAACACCTTGCATACTACATGTCAGCTAGCCACCAATTAATGTTGAGACAATTGTGAACTTACTTTGTAGATGAGGAAAAGGGCTCGGGCTAAGCATTCTGGTTAATGTGGGAAAAAGTTAATGCCCATGCAGGCAAACTCAGAACCAAAACTCCAACCACAATGTACCATGTAACAGAAAATAAACATCTCCTGTGGGTACCAATTCTCTCACCCTGGTATCTAGTTTGCCTTTCCAGCTGACTCAAGAGTTAAGAAATTTCAATACAAGCCTGGTGTTGGTGGCTTACACCTCTAATCCCAGCACTCAGGAGGCAGAGGCAGGCAAGATCTCTCTGAGTTTGAGGTCAGCCTGATCTACAGAGCGAGTTCCAGGACAGCGTCCAAAGCAATACAGAGAAACCCTGTCTCGAAACCCCCCCCCAAAAAAATTTCAATACAACCAATAAAGCCAAACTTACATAGAGAGAATGGGAAGTTTTCCTACAAACATCTCAAACAAGAGTGCTAACAGTACTAAATGAACTCTGCTCACTCAAGGCTAGAACATGCAGCCTCAACCTGAGAGTGCTGGAATTCACAGGCTTATCTATGCCTGTGGTAAAGCCTAGCTTGTGAGGAGCTGGAGACTAGTCCAGAGCTTTAGGTAGCCAAGGCAGGCACTCCAGTCACATCCCCAAGTCACGCTCTCACTCTTAAAACTGTACCCATGAACAAGATAAAATCAACTTACAATTTCATTCACAAAGAAAATTCTGAAAGAAAGTAAATCAGCTCATACTTTCTACTCAATATTTAAGCCTCAAGTCTGAACGTTGATTAATCTTTAAACCTTACTGTAAACTACATCATTTGAGCCATGGGATCGTCTGAACAGGCACTGTAAAGACACCTAAAAGTTGACTCTTTCAAGAAGTTTTGGGATAGTTGACTGGCTCTTCCTCACCCCACTTATCTTAGTATTGAATGAACTTTTTTATCAAACTCAGGGGGTATAAGCTGTGACACCCCATGTCTCATCTCCCTGAAACCCTTTCCTCCACCACAATCAACCAGTCTTCACCTGAGAGCGAAGGTTGGCAAGCAGAAAAGAACTCCGTGTGCTGCTGTTAGCTGGGTCTGTGTTGTGACATGTGTGTCCCTCAGACTTGTTACAGTGCTGGCATATTACCACATGGACCCTTACCCTGGAATGGAGTCTACATGGCAGCAAATACGGGAGAGCAGCACAGGAAGAATGCTGCGCAAAGCAGAAGAGGCACGGACGGCACTGAGGACTGGCATTTTCTTCAAGGTTGGCAGTCATTGTAAGCTGTCATTTATGTACTCAACACTCTCTACCCTAAGTCTACCACAGCAGATACGTGTCAATAGCAAAAATACGTGAGAAAATATTCAATTTCATTAACAATCGAGGGAATGAAAACAGTCTAATGTCATATTATGTGGAATCCACTGCATGTGTAAACATAGATGTTGTAATTTTAAAAATCAACATTTATTTCTGCCACAAAATATATAAAATCATGTACAACTATAACCCTTCTACAACCTTCCTTCTCCCTCCTCCTTCCCCACAAATATCCAAAGAATCATTAAAGACTGGAAAACTACTGTGTATCCTGCAATAAAGAAACTGCAAAGTTACCTATTCAGTCTACTATTCAGTAGACACTAAAACTGACTGTCTAAAATAATAACTGAAATAAACAAAAGAGCTTAACAAAAACTGGAGAGACACTTTAAAAACTGTTTACATTACAATTTGTATTGGCCTTTGTTGGTCTTTCCAGTTTTTCTTTAATGTATCTATCTTTGTTGTTTAAACTTAAGCTCAAAGTTCTTGAGGAAAATGCTGTGCTAGATTATTTTTACTTTTAGTAGTTACATCACACACACAGGGTCAGTTCAAGGTCTTATCACAAAACTCAAGGACAAAACAAAAGCTACCTCTTACATGATTAGTCTATTCTATCACAAAGCTTTTCTATAACATGAATTAGTTCACAACTGATAGATGATTTTTTTTTGTTTTGAAATTTTAAAAAAGATTCATCTAAGTATGCCTCTCCCTCAGACCCCACTGGGCATGGCAGCCATGACCACAAGACTTTTCAGGAGAGTTCGGCAACAACTGTTTCCCCATCTTCCTCATAATGCAACATTAACTTCCTGATTCTGTTTGTCTCATTTACTGCTCTTGATTGGACTCTGCCAATCCTATCACTTAACAGAATCCTCCTTCTGATCGCTAGGAATAAAGCAATTTAAAATAATTTAAATCTCAGAATTTCAGTATTTTGTTATCAATGTCTTAACAGCTCTGCCCAATGTCAACGCTCTCAAGCATAAAAGAATTTTTTAAAAAGAGGCTCGAGAGACAGCTCAGTGGTGAAGAGCACTTGCTGTTTTTTCTTTTTCAGAAGATCAGGTTTAGTTTCTAGAAAATACATGGTGGCTCACAACCACCGGTAGCTCCAGCTACAGGTGTACACACGCGCACATCTCAGAAGATACAGCAACAAATACAATAGATGGTATAATGAAAACAGCCATATAAAAATGTGTAGAATTTTAGTCATTCATATTCAACTCAGAATCTACTGTCCTCTTTCTGAATTTGTGTCAAGTATAAAATTCCATTTATGTTGTGGAGCTTTTTTAGTTGTTTAGTTTCTCTGTGTAGTTTTGAAGCCTGTTCTGGAACTCTGTAGACCAGGCTGGCCTCGAACTCACAGAAATCCACCTGCCTCTGCCTCCCAAGTGCTGGGATTAAAGAATATGAAATACTATATTAAGTTGTGTTACATT